TCTCTAAACCTACTCCTGCAGTTCAAGGGTTAACATGGTTCCCTCATCTTCTCAAAACAGCAAGTACACAAATCAAACACGGTTATAAATATTTGTACGTCCCTAGTCTGCTGCCATGTCTTATTTAGGGCTTTATGTCGTAAAGCATGCCCTCGCTGCTCCAAAAAGGAGCGGATGTTATTCCATAAATATTTACATCTATACGTAAACTACGCCGATCCATCAGCAGCACTGTGTTTAAAAAAAGTGATGAGCTGGTAAGAGGTAAATAGTTAAAGTATTTTTAGGTGAGTTGGGGGTTGTATTCCCTGCGGAGGGCCTGATGATGGGAAGCATTGTGTTCATTTTGTTTATCAAGCAGCTCTATGAGCCTCTAGTGGGGCTCGTCTGCTTACACAAGCAAAAGCTTTCAGAGGCATCTGCAGCTGCAAGCCCACTGCACAGGTACCCTGCAGACTGCATGCGCGCACACACACACACACACACACACACACACACACACGAGGCTATACAGCATGTTTTTCTCATGGTCAAATGGTGTTTGTTGGGGAGCAGCTGTTGTTGATGTTTGTAGCTTTTCGACTGAGCAACAGAGAGGCCCTCACAGTCTGGCTGCGTTGAGGCTGGAAATAGCACACTGCTACACACACACACACACACACAGCTGCCCCAGCAACTCTACATGGCTCTGCAGGTGAACCTGTGCCGCCGTGGCTTTATTCTCACGTCTAGCGCTTCGACATCTTTTGTCCAATGATGATGACTGATGGCTGTCACCAAATGCCGGTCCACATAAACCATGTTTCCAACCATCCATATTTTAATGCAAATTTTGGGATATTGCGGTAAAAATGTTGGATGGAAACACCAACATGAGATTAAAATTTCCACTGTGCAACAAAAACTACAACAAAAACACTGGAACAAATTCATAGACATACATAAGTAATGTTACTTTATCTGGCTACACTAACTGGGTTTCTATCCACTAATTTAATGGAATATTCCATAAAAATGCTGGATGGGAACACCACCATGAGACATATCTAAAATGCACATAAAATCACAAATGCTATGATGCACATCAAAAAAAGTCACATGAATTTTCCTCATGTCATACTATTCGTTGTCACGCTCAAGCCCATGTGTACAGTGCATGTGATTTAAATTTAATCATAAGAATAGTCTTAACATACTGTACATGTGCAGGTAGAAATTTTCAGTAACACTTTAGATATTCACTATTAACTAAGAGTTTTCCCTCAATAAACTCCTAATTTGCTGCTTATTAATAGTAAGGTGTTACCAAATTTTCTAACCATGCGTACTGTGCACACTCAACTCGCACACGGTGCCTTGAATTTTTTTGCTCTTATTAGTTTGTCCACAAGGCCTATTGTTTCACAGTCTATAAAAACAAAAATGAGATAAAAGAATGAGATGGAACAATAACAACAACAACAAACTACTGGAGACACAACAATAGGCATTTGCATTGATGAGCGCTTGTGTGAGGGAGTTTAGTTTAAATGAGTACAAAGTCATTTTTATTTCTCATGACTTCTGGAGAGAAATAGCACAGACACTGGATAAGTATGAAACTTTCTAGTGTGCACGTGTCGAGCACCTATGTTTGCGCACATTATCAATTATCGAAAGGCAACATGTTTATGTCATAACTTTGGTCTGATCTGCTGTGTTTTGTTGTCTTTTTCTCAGTGTCTGTGTGTCTTGTCTCTGGGCACATGGGTTTTGTTTTGACAGCTCACCATGTGCTCCGCTGTCAGTGTGTCGTTTTCCCCTCCCACTCGTTATCCTCAATTCTCTTTTGTGTTTTCTGTCACACCTGTTGCCATTCATTCCTCATTAGCTCTCCCCTATTTTAGATCCTCTCATGCTCAGTCTTTTGTCAGACCGTAGTTGTATGTTGTGCAACGCTTCGCTCGTGACCATCTTGTCATGTTTGCTTTGTCTTGCCGTGTTGTGTCTTTTAGGCTCCAAGTGCTGTTTTGCTTTTTGTTTTGAACTGCTCCTTCTCATCCTGCCAGACAATATTTGTTCTGCTACCTGCCCTGGCTTTCTCAGTTTCTGTTGAGTTTTGGATACATCGCCCCAGCCCCTCTATGCACGCTCAACGCTCTCATCGGTGAGCTCAGTGAGTCTTTGACGCTGCATCACGAACAATGCTCTGGTCAGTGAAAATTTGACGCTGCGTCACGGATGACGCTAGGATCGGTCCCTGCTGAGAGGCTTTCTCCTGGTCCTGTGGACTTTGATTTGGACTTCCTCTATTTTGTGTTCCCGTTGTTTTTCCTAGTGCTCAGTGAGAGCGTAATAAACTTTTCTGTTACCTGCAACTGAATCTGTATTTTTCCTGACAGTTTAGCTGTATGCATATGCTAAGCGTTTGCGTCAAAATTGAAGGATACTTTGGCCTTCAGTCATAAGGCATCTGTCAATGATTGCTAACAAATAATGTGTTTTTTCAGTTTACAAAATTCTTGACTTTAAAAAACTTGTAAAAAATATATAAATGTTTTGTAGCTGTAATTCACAATGCATTTATTACGTTTAGAGGGACAGTTCACACAAAAATAAAAATCAAGTCATCATTTACTCACCCTGCTGTTGTTCTAATGCTATATGCCCATCTTTTGTTTTCAGACCACAAAAGCGGAAATGTAAAAAGAGTCCCGCTGATGCTTGTCCATATAATGGCAGTAAATAGCAACTAGCTATTGTATAGCAACGGGCTGCTGTTTTGTTTGTTTATTATGTTTATTTTGTTCATATTCAGTTGAGACTTTTGAGTTTCCAGTTCTTTGCCATGCATGCTTTCGTTACTGATTTCCATTAATGTTGATTTTTGATTATTGATTGTTTGTATACATTTGTTAATTATGTTTTGTTGATTAAACCATTTCTTTCTCTACTTGCCGGTCCGTGTTGGCTCTCATTCATGTTGCAATTGTTGAGCCGGTTGTAACAATTAGCACAGCAGTTCACTCAGACTCAACCAGGAAAAGCACACAAGTTGTGAGAAATCAAAATGAATAAAAACACAACATAAAATACAACGCCTAGAAATCTCCCCAAAAAAGTATCTATGTACTTTCTTCAATGAGTTAAATATCTCCGGACTCGAAGTCCAGTTGTCATGACAGTCAGAATAAGATAAATGTGATAACTTGTTGCTGCGATGAACACAAAATATATATTCACCTCTGAGAAGAGAGAACATGGATTCTATTTTGTGTCAAGTTTTTTGGAGTGAACTGCTGTGTTAATAGAGTATCATGAACATGCAGTTATGCACAGTAATGAACAGCCAAGATCAGGATTTTCATTAAATAATACATTCACTTTCGGTTAGTTTTTCACCAAATCCTATCGTAAATACCCAAGACACTTGGAATATACGACACGTATCACATGGGACCATTCTGTGATACTTTTGTGCATGAGGAGGACATTTTTTTTAATTGTCCTTTTGTGGCCCTAAAAAGAAAGAAGGGCATATGGAATTAGAACAGCGCAAGGATAAGTAAATTATGACTTTTCATTTTCATTTTTGGGTGAACTGTCCTGTTAATCAAACAGCCCTAGCGGTTTCCGCAGTAGCTACAATTTACATTTCTATTTTGAGGTAAGTTTCACAAAAAGTGATTTTTTTGCATATATTCGAAACTTCGATACAAACACACTCTAATCTGTTGTGAGTGGGATTTCGATGAGAATCCAGCCTTTCTTACAAGAGCAGAGTTCTATATTCCCGGCGTGCACCGTCACTGCTCTACCCTGCGCTGAATTGAACTGCTTTGAGTTATGAGTCACGCAAGTGCACCTGCGGCCATGTGTTAAGTAGTGACAAATAAAAGCCCTATGTCCATTTACACAACAAAGAGATGTACCCCACGAGGCCACCAATCTCTCCTCAACCCCCTTACCACCCCACCTCTCTGTCTTTTCCTGTCTTCCCATGTTTTTTTTCCTCTGGCATTAGTAGCAAAATGCATCTCGCTCCCCGTTTCCCCCGAGTCCCGTATCACTAGAGCGACTCCGTTCCAGACAAGCTACGATTCAAACACAAATTTAAAGACAAAGGTGCGTCGTGCAATGTATTCATGTCTCATGGAAGAGTTGTGCTTGATTTCTCGCCTGCATTCCATGTGATTATTGAGAGCTCACGAAGACTAATCCTGCTGCCACGCGGCCCTCGAAGGCCTCGTTTTGTTCTGCGGGAGGAATCAGAATCTACCCGTATTAACGTGAGGGGGATCTCTGAGCTAAAGCCGCTGTATTCACGCATTCACTGCAACCAGCACTGTGGTTTGAGGATGAATCAAAAAGGAGGCTTTCACTAGCTGCCCTCCGTTTTCCCACAATGACTGTTTAAATTTATGCATACAGAAAGGTTGGGAGGGAGTTGGGCAAACAGGGGTCACAGGCGGAGTCAAGCTTAGCTCCACACTTCCTCCGAATGCTAATGTCTGGTGCTCCACTGGGATTATCGCCCATGGAAATTTCCCCCCAATTCCGCGTTATTAATCTCTGTCTGTCCTCCTGTTCTGGCTACATAATGACTAATTAAACATCAAAAGAGCTGTGGCGGGGATGCGGCACGACAGCTCGTGTCCCTGAGCCCTTGTACCCACTGGAAAGGGGAGAAGAGGGGGGCGAGCGCTGACGGGGCGGCCTCACAAATCAATCAACCATCGTTACCTCGCACCTACGCCCGCCACGCTCCAAACGGTGGATTCGCAAACACAACAGAGCTGATTTGCGAGGCAGGTTTGGCCTCCTGTGTGCACGCGCCCGACATATGCACAGGTATACGCTGCCACCGTGTCAGAGGACGACTTTGATAAGACGGAATTCAAAAACGTGTGTGCCGCCATACCAACGGCTTTCATTAAACGTGCCTGTTGTGTCTGTTTGTGCGCTAGCATCTATTTTTAAAGCAAAGTGATGGCAGGAAGATGAAATGATGCTGTACTCACAGATGTAGGCAGGCCAGGAGGGGGCTTGCGCACTTTTTTCGCTTGATGAGGATCTGTGGAGAAAATACAAAAACAACTTTGAGACATTTGAGGGGGAAAAAAGAATAAATAGAGGCACTCAGTCAGACGTCTCTTTGATTACAGGTTTACAAAGACAAATATGAGAGTGTTAGTGTGGCAGAAATCAAGGAATTCTTAAAGGGATAGTTCACCCAAAAATGAAAATTTGATGTTTATCTGCTTACCCCCAGGGCATCCAAGATGTAGGTGACTTTGTTTCTTCAGTAGAACACAAACGAAGATTTTTAAGTCAAACCGTTGCAGTCTGTCAGTCTTATAATGTAAGTGAATGGGAATCACGGCTTTGAGAGTCAAAAAACATACACAAACAAAACCAAATTAAACCCTGCGGCTCGTGACGATACATTGATGTGTAAAGACACGAAACGATCGGTCTGTGCAAGAAACTGAACAGTATTTATATTGTTTTTTTACCTCTGATTGACCGCAATGTCCGAACTGTCCAGAGGGCATCCTGAGTGCGTTCAACAGCCGGCACCTGACGCGTCTTCTTCTTCTTGCTTTACGGCAGATCGCAGACTTATAAGTGCATCACCGCCACCTATCTCTCAAATGGACCATTGACACTCTATCTACAATCTCAATTAGGAGTGTCAATAGTCCACTTGAGAGATAGGTGGCGGTAATGCACTTATAAGTCTCAGGATGCGCTCTGGACAGTTCGGATATTGCGGTGAAAATCAGAGGTAAAAAACGATATAAATACTGTTCAGTTTCTTGCACAGACCGATCGTTTCGTGTCTTTACACATCAATGTATCGTCACGAGCCGCAGGGTTTAATTTGGTTTTGTTTGTGTATGTTTTTTGACTCTCAAAAAACAAACACAATGTGTAGAACGTGTTCTACTGAAGAAACAAAGTCACCTACATCTTGGATGCCCTGGGGGTAAGCAGATAAACATCAAATTTTTATTTTTGGGTGAACTATCCCTTTAAATTCAGTGTTAAAAAAAAAAAAAAAGCTAATGCTGACAATGTATATTTCCAGTAGCGTCCATTAGTGTTTATTATTATACAAAATCAAGAGGTTATAATCATGATTTCTCATTGAGTGCATCAGACAGGCACTAACCCAGTGAAGCGGAGTCCTGTAGGGAGCGTCTTCGTGGATTGGAGCCAGTATACGAGTAGAACGGAGTGGGCGACTTCCCAGAGGTGGTGACGGGCACTGGGCTTGCCAGTCCTATGTCCGACCTCAGACTAGGCTGTAGAGACAAATGAAGAGAGTTCAGGGCCAAGAGCCAACAGTATAAACACTAATGCAAATGCACAAAAAAGTGAATGCGTGTGTGCAAAACATATTTTGAAATTAAAACAGTACAGAAATTTAAATACAGTAAAACAAATAACAGAAAAACTGATGATTAGTTTCACGATATGGCCAACAAACCATAAATGACTTATTATTAAGATTCTATACTTTAATATTCTATGTACTTATCAAATAAGGTAAAAACAAAAACTAAAGTCAATAATTTAAATACTACTGTACAAAGTACAATATAAAAATATTATTGCAAAATATTACAAACAAAGATTACTAAGTGTATAAATTATCTTTATATGACTGCTAAGTGGCAAATGTCATTTAAATGTTAAAAAAGTGAAACACAAATGCACTCAATTACATAAACAATATATAAGCCACTACTGATTTTTTTTTTTTTTTTAATCTAATATCAGCATCCCTAACTGTAATATAAAATATAATATGACAGTGTCAGGTCCAAAGTTCTGACATGAAACAAAGTTTTAGAATTTTGAAAAATTGGAAACAAAGAAAAGACATAAAGAAGAAATTCATGTCATTTTGTCCAATTCAAACTTTCAACCAAAGTGATACACTGATAATATTTGCAATTTAAAAAATTTAATACTGAATAAGAAAAAAGCTTAATACAAGCCTTTAATATAACAGGACTTTTGGACTGTCACAGTGTAAAAGCTGTAGCGAATCAGCTCATAAGGGAAATATGAATAATTAATCATAACTAGCTATAATTAATTATAAATATTTAGATCCGCTGTAGATATTTACTTGACCTCTCAGGGTCAACTGTCTGTCAATTCTAAGAACGTTAATTTCCTGGTTAAGGGAAATAACTTTCTTACTGTACAATTCTACACAGAGCTTGTAGCATAAATCTGCATGATTAAGTGACTCCAGTTATGAGCAAACAATGAACAACGTCAAGTGTGATACAAGTAAGACTTTATTAACTACATAGACACTTAAACTAGTCTAACATACAGGAAAAGAAAGGGAAAAATCAGAAACCAGGGATTAGATTAAAATCAAATTACTTCACACTGCATACACACATGCTGTATTTAAAACCTTCAATTAAAGAGTGCTAACCCCTAATTGTTAAAGCTATTTGGTAGCTTAGCCTAAGATTAACTATGCTAAGTTGTGTGGAGTGATTTTCCCTACTCACATTCCATCAGGTCGTAAATGGCTCTGGTCTTAGCAAAGGTGTCGGGGTTGCCATGGTAACCAGTGGCCTGTGGTCATTCGTAGACATCCTGGCGCCCAGTCTATTGGGTGAGGGGTCTGTGACGACTTGTTAATCTAATGAATAACTGATTTGTTAAATCAAATGAAAAATTGTGTTTTTGATTGGTCCAGACGCTACAGCAAAAAGAGTTACAAATAAAATGACCATCACCAAGATTAAAATATGAAACATGAAGGTGAATGTATGACCATTTCAGATATTGTGTGACCCCTGAAAGAAGGTTTTGTGCTTTGACACAATCAGAACCCTGAGAGTTTTTCTGCTCTTTCCTCTCTTTACTGAACACAATTGTGCAGTTAATGATGTGAGAGTGTCAGCAGCTCAGTGAAGTCCAAGGAGAAATCGATCCAATCAGTCTCACCTAGTGATTCCCTTCTGCTCACGGTGAACTGCTATTGATCAGGCCTGATCACGGCCCCAGGGCATATCCACACACAACCAGGGACACATCCTCACTTAAAGGAGCAGCAGACCCAGGAGAGTGAAGGATGAGAGAGACAAAGAGAAGGGGGGCGGGGGGGGTACGACAGTGGCCGGCTCAAGCCTCGTTAAACCATCTGTCTGATCTCAGGAGCTGTCAGGTCGCTTGTAAAAACTGTGCCGGCTTAACTTGACGAAACACCCGGTATAGAGCCCATGAAGTCGACAGGGCCACTAGACTGTCGACGGAGAGCCAATTACGTGAGGAGAGAAGAGAGACAGAGGCCCCAAAACCTGCATCTGATGACCGGGAGATTAGCCTAGGCTTCAGGTTTGTAAATGGTTTTCCCAGAGGCTATCGCACCCTTGACCAACATGCACTCCGTTGCTCATCCCGGCAAACTGGGTTAAGAGGCCAATTAGAGAAGAAGCCCAATTAGCCTAATCGTCTGCGGAGTTAAAGAGTAGTGTGGGGAGGGGAATAAAAGAGTGACCGAGAATAGAAAGAATCAGGTAACAGGACTCATACTGAGAGACACAGCATGCATTAGAGAGCGGCTGTTAACTACTGTACTGGACCACTTAACACAACACAAACTAAAATCACACTAAAGATTAATAAAGGTACCATAATTACACATAAGTATAAACATGGCTCTAAATTTTACTCATCTTTCATGTGATTTTAGTTTGAATCATATTTATCTCATAAATCTAAATCTTTAAAATATTACATTTTTGAGCGTATCTTATATTGCATCTTATACTGATTTTATAGTTTATAATTATTATTTATCATTTATTGCAATATATATGAAATGTTATTTTAGAGGTTATTTATAAATGATAATCTTTCAAACAATAAATTATAATAAAATAAATTATAAATACTTAACAGACATGATGTTCAGTGTTTTCAGTGTCTGCTGTCGCAATATATGAGGTCAGACCACATGAATTTTATCTCTAGAGCTACTCTGAGTTTCTTCACCAGCTTTACACCGTTTCATTTAAGAAAAACTACCATCAAATACACACTGAAACTCAACGATCTTCACAACAAACCAAATATACTTCTCAAAGTAATAATAATGTTATTATTTTTAAGTTATATCATACAACCAAGATTTTTTCATCCATGTTTTTTATTTATACAGTTCTGGTGTGCAGCATCTTATTCGACAAAAAAAGCTATGTTTTGTTGTAAATTAATTGTTATATTTTCTTTTGATTACATTTTAGAAGATTAATTCGATTGTTAAAGTTTTATTAATTCATTTCATTAGACACCATTTTTAAGATTTGTATTAAATTACAAAACACAAAATCCAGAAAAAATAAAATAAAATGGAAAGCACAAAATTTAGGGAAAAATAAAGTGGATTTAATGGAGCCCTAAAATAAAAGATAGCTTACTCTGTGGAGTTTAATTCTGAACAAACAAGTTATGTTACATTCATAATCAAGGTCTAACAAACATGTGGAAAACACTTCCTTCCCCATTAAATGAATATAAATGAATATCATGATAAATATTGATATTGTATGATGAAAAAATATATATTGTGATATTATTTTTGATCATATCACTTATCCCTAGTATACAGGAAAATAAACTCAATATCAAAGTCAGATAGAAGTCATAACCAAAGCTCCAATTGAGACTTACAGAAGAGAGAGCTTAAAAATAGCTACTCCTCCTTGAATTTAGCCGATTAAAACAAGGGCCATCAGATCGGGTGAAAATCAGGTTGGCTTCTCCTTTACTGCAGAAGGAATAAGGGGGAAACAAGCTCTCCAAAGTGACAGGCTGTCAGGGAGGTGGCATCACTGACATTGACATGGCAAAACAGACTGACTAGTGTTGCCTTTGTTCAATGATATGAAATCCTCACAGCAATATTATCTTCTTACTTCTAGCCGCGATGCAAAAACAAAACGGGAAAGTGCTGGGGTCAGATGAAAGACCGATAGAATACTAATTTAACAATTGGGAAAGAGTGATTTTAGGGAGATTTGCTGTGGTTTATTATAGTCATGTGAAATTAGTCGAATCCTATTTAAAGATTACATTCAGAGAACTGGTGATTCCATGAAACTAAAGGGGATTAGTGCGATCTGTGTTAAATTGAATATAGAATGAATGAGAAATTTACATTTTCTGAAGAAAAACTTGCACAACAGTAGGCTGTTGCTTAACAGTTCCTTAAAAATTAAAAAGAGCCCAGCCTCTAGTCATTTTCAGGTTTCTAGATAGGATGTGGGTATATATTAAATATTTTTTCATCTTTTGGGTGAAAATCTTAAGTCTGATTTCTTAGAAAAGTAATAGTACACCTCTCACCAACAAGCCACATTATTTAAGGAAGTGGTTCTCAACGATTAATGATTATGATTAATTATGATTATGATTCATGATTAATATGTTAAATAAATAAAACAAATGTACAAAATAACAGCACCACTTCTCTTGTATGTATTCTGTGATATTCTGTGTTTCGGAGCAGCTCGAATCGTGTGAAATTAAGACTGAACGGGGGCTCAAAACATCCGACCACTGCATGAACAGATGATATGCAAACTACAGCTCTCGGCTGGACAAAGCAAGCCAGTGTTGCGCTAGTAAAGTTTTGATGGATGACCACTGTAATCAAGGAAAAGATGATTACAGTGACATACAGGAGTCGTACATTATGCACACGTGTATCAGTTATTACTGATGCACAAACAAACCATGTATGTGTTCACTCGGCGCACTGATCCCTATAACATCATATTTATACTGAAAACAGTTCAGTATATTCACATAGTTGTCAAAATAATAACGAAAATTTATAACGAAAAATTTGCAGAAGAAGCCTGTTTTGGAGAAGTTTGTGAGGATCAGTGGTGTTTATGTACATATGGGAATCAGACGCTCCAAACACAGACACGATCGCTTGTTCTGACAGAGGAACTGTTCACTGATGAAGGTCGCTGAGTTTCCACACATTCAGAATGTTTTCATTTTTCATTTGTATTTTGGTGTGTTTAGCAATTCTGAATGGATCTATATAGTAGTTTCTATGCAGTTCTTTGGCATCTCCCTGTGGTCTTGATTTGTATGGCAGGTTGACTTGTGCTTATTTGTTAAAGTTATAGTATAATTGAGCTTTACATACTTTTAAGCACTTTTAAGTTGTAAAGAATATCAGCAGTGACATTTTTTGCAAAGTATCTTTGCAAAAAGAACATTGAATGTTTAAATCGATCTTGCATTTGTTTTGTTTAAAAATAATTACATGGAATTGAAAAGTAACAACACTAGAATACAAAGGTTTTTGTGAATAGAAAAGGTTGGGGGGCCTTGCAGTATTGATTCAGAGAAGAGGGCGGCCTTGGAGTAAAAAAGGTTGAGAACTACTGATTTAAGGTATCATTCACATCTGCTGCACAAACATTTTGGGATGAGCTACACAGCGATGTTTAATACTTATAGTTTGGACTGTGTTCAAATCCCTAATACTGAGTATGAGCGATCGCAACAGCGATATACTGACAAAAGCCCTGTTCATTTCTCTCCAGGGTATGAATGTTTATGTGTGAACATGGCTGTGTGTTAGCAGGTAAGAGGAAAATGACTGCCCTCCGTGGTTTAGCCTTTAAAACAAGTACTCAGCTTACATGACAGTCTGGTCAATCTTGTGGATACTGAGAAGTAGTGTTCATTATAAGAACACTTGACAGAATCACAGGGGCTTCTGAGCCCGCTCACATCTTCCTGAGTGAAATGTCAGGCAGATTGGTGGAGATAATAGTAGTCATCTGTCAACCGCATCCTGCCGCAACAATCAGAATAATCCTCCACACAGGGGACGGGAGCAAAGCTCACCTACAGCCACTGCGCTGCTGAATGCAGCTCTCTACCGCTTGCCTCTTATTGCTTCTGTATTTTCACATTTCTCATGTTTGGATCACAGCATTTCATGCTGCAAGGTTAAATATTGCAACGGAAGGGTAGCCTTTAGCGAGATGTTGTCAAAGTCAAAGATATTGCGAAGCAACAGCAAGCAACAATTGAATAAACTGTATAATTTTAGGAGGTATAATGTAAAAAAAATTAATTCAAATGGTCAAATAAAGCCCCTCTTACCTGCAGAGAGATGCATACATATGTACAAGGTGGGGAAAAGCGTATTCCCCAATTGTAAGTCGCTTTGGATAAAAGCATCTGCAAAATGACTAAATGTAAATGTATTCAGTCTGGCTACACTGGTTAAGCATTTCGGTTTGTTTCACTAAAAAGAATCGGCTCATAAGAATAATTTGTTTGGGTATCTGATTGTACTGGTAACATTGAATGGTTTTCATTCACTAAAAACAGTTTATTAGAGTCATTCATTCAGGAATCAAACTGCATTGGTCATATTGTATGGTACTGATTAAAAAAACTCGTTATTAATTTCAAAAAATCGTTAATGGTTCTAAATAAGAAGCGGTTCTCACTTCCCAAGCCTATGTGAAATTCACTGTTTTTGTTGCTGAATTACTTGCTAGTAAAAGAAAGCAGCCAATGAGATGCTTGGCAAGCAGGGCCACAGCTGGCTGAGACAGTTTGAATATTTAACTCAATAAAAGGTGTACAGTTCCACATCAGGTTCAAATGATGCAATAATACCTTGCTGAGGGAGAGGTTTAGCCTGCAAATGATGACAAACCTCATAAAAAGACGGGCTGTTTGGCTTTGTGAAAATCCTGTAACCGCTTCCCATCACTGCCAAACACTTGATAGATTACTAGTGCAGATATTTCCATTCTTGGCACTCGCTGAACAAATAGGGCCTTTTATTAGCTTCCACAATGTGCATTGTTCAATTTTCGAAGCAGACTGGGTTATTAGGCGCCCGATTCGCGTATTAAAAACACTGCTTCTCCGATAATCTCTGCACCTGACAGTCATCTGTTTATATGTGCGCGGCAGACGCGGTGGCCATATTAACACGCGGGGTTCAGAATATTAATGCAGCCACCCTGCAGCCCGCATTCTTCCCACATTCGCTCAGGAACCGAACGGCTTTTTCGCTCTTCCTGTTTTTCTTCAGTGACTAGACAAACTGAGTCTCTGCCAGGCTCTGATCTGTGCAGCTGCAGGCCAGCATAAATTCCCCAGTTCCCACACAAAATGTCTGAACTGGCATTCCCTTTCAGAAAGCTCTTTTATGAATGAGCGAACGCACCGGAGAGGCAGCCGTGTTTTCATTCGTACTGACTAGCGCTATTCACTGCTCGCAAACCGCACGGCGCTTTTAAAGGTGTGCTTGTGTGTTTCTCCTCTCCTGAAATGGGCGCTGGGCTCGGAGGGCGAGGTTATTAAAGGGTCGTCTGGGTCGAGGGCTGTGCTGACCTCACACTTAAGCTGGAGAGGTAGCCTTCCTCTAATATCATTAGCATTAAATTTAATCTTAAAGCTAAGACCCTGCATGCTAACTAAATCCTTCTGCTAATAACTATCAGGTATAGCACTAATATGCAGCGCAATATTCATGAAGACTGCACTAGGATGGAAAAGAGTTTATTTCTTGGTTTCCCAGTAGTCATTACCACAAAGTTGGAGAGGGGGCGAACAAAATGTAAACAGAGCAAAAGTGCAAGCAACAGGCGATTAAAAAAAATGTGGAGGGAAAAAAGGGTGGGGGGTCTCCAAGTTATACTCTCTGACTGACTGACGTCAACCGTGTCAGAGAGAATGAACAGGCAGGAGAGCGAGGGAGCAAGAGCGGGGTGGTGTGCTCACACAATCCTGTCTTTGTTTGGAACATCTGTGTGGCTGAGGGAGGGGAGCAGGGCTCTGTGACACTGCTTTAATGGAAGTGCTGAAAGTCATGTTTCTGTGTGCTGAAGGCCTGCTCCCTACACACAACACACACATAAACACTCCCTTCTAAATAGCATATTAGAAGCTATTAAAAAGGCATTCAGATTAAAAGCATTCAAACATCACAAACACTCTCAACATTGTCTGATGTGAAAAACTAACCAGAAACTATAAACAAGGTTCCCACAACTTTAGACCAATGAATTTCCCAGACTTTTTGATGACTTTTCCCAGTTGTGATTATTAAATGATTTTAGGCACCACTTTATATTTTTTGGTTAAAATTAGTTAATGAATTGCAGTAGGTATCACAAATAATACATTAATGTTCATTTATGCAACATTTCTAAAATTATAAAAATGTATTAGTATACTTATTAGTATACACTACCATTCAAAAGTTTTTTTTTATATAATATTTTTGCAAGGACACATTAAACTCATCAGATGTGACAGTAAAAAATTATAATATAACAAAAGATTTCTGTTTCTAATAAAAGCTGTTCTCATTAGAACTATTTCTGAAGGATCATGTGACACTGAAGACTGGATTAATGGCTGCTGAAAATTTCTCTTTGCCATCACAGGAATAAACTATATTTTACAATCTATTAAAATAGAAAACAGTTATATTAGAATGTAATAATATTTCACAACATTGCAGTTTTTACAATATTTTTGTCTTAGTGAGCGTAATAGACTTTTTAAAAAATCTTTCCAAAAGAATCACCCCAAAAGCTGTATTTAGCTGAACAAAAAAAATAAAATAATAATGATTATTCACTACAGCAATTCCTAAGACTGTTTATGATTTTATTCCTTTACATGACTTCCATGGCCTGCAATTCACAATAACATTTTAACGTTTTTAAAATTGAAGGTGGGACAGAATTTAGCCATTTAGCCGTGTGTTGGAGTATTTGGCACGCTCACTTTTAGCACTTTGGTAGTTGTGATGAATCAGGGGCTATGTGAGAAACCTGCAAGATTCACACAAAAACTAAAACTACAAAACTACACAATAAAAGTGAAGTTGTGGTTGTTACCTGGCATCCAGAGACACCTGGCTCTCTTCCATAACCAGAGAACGGAGGCCTCTCAGACTTGCCTATGGATAAACAAAGAGACAAACAATCAGCACAGCACCATACACATTAACCACATAAATATTAATCATGTGAAAAACAGGGAGATTTCAAGGAAGACAAACAATAACTGCCAAAACTCACACACTCTGTGTTGAGTTTTGGCAGTTGAAGGCTGCTGAAGGTCAGAAGGAACTGATTTATGTTTCATATTACATCAGTAAGGTGTGATTTACTTTTGTGTGCATTTTTTTCTAGCTGTCCATCAGACAGGGCATGTCTGATAGTAAACTACAGGGTCAGACAGGTCTCAGTCGATGATACTAATCCATCTCGATCCTTTTCCGGTTGCAGAAACAGCCCATGAGCTTGCAAGGGGCAAATAAAAATTGCACAGCGCACAGCCGTATAAATCATGCACTTCACAATATCTAAACTCAGCAGTTTCAACCTCTCTGTGAGAAAAAACAGGAGACTCCTAAAGGAAAATGATAAACAACTCTAAAAACATCATATATTATACTTGTCAGACTTTCAAACATTAGAACAAACACAGCAGTGAAGCTAAATTCTGTTTACTCCAGGGAAAAGGTAAACATTTTTGTTACTTAAATTCGGATGGCGAAAGTGTTTGCGTTACACCTTCCTCGCTTCAGGTTCTGTTCTGCTGCACTCAGGTGCACAAGGCCACGTGTCAGCGAGCGTGCGAGTTTCTGCGCTGGCGTAGCCTCCCGAGATGCAGCCGTAATCAGGTACAGTGGTTTAACTGAAAACGCTGCTTCCCCTGTGGTGTAAACTGATCTCACTCGACGTGATATAACATTTGAGAGTTGTGCTCCTACAAAGGAAGAGGGAGTATAGTTGTGGGTAAACTACTGCACTCCCTCCCCCTTAGTCACCACAAAAGAATAAAACATCTGTCTTTCAGCGACTTTAAAGGTTAGGAGGCTTTTTTCCCTCATCCTGACATCCTGGGCTTGCTACTCAGCTAGGTTTTGGTTTCTGAGTTTGTGGCGTACACAGACTCCCACACAGGGAGTCTTTCCTCTACAGATGCACTCGTGTCCAGCATTGAAATATTCATTTACATCATGTGTTTTGTCACACTCTCTCTGTCCACACTGAATAATTTATAAGACTGCGTTGTTGTTTTAGATCCTGGCAGAGCTGGAAGCGCTACTCATGAAAAACATCCTCCCTCGATCTGGGTCTCTCGGATGCAGTTGCACGCATGGTTTGGCATGCTCGCGTGCAGCGTAACCCATCCATGGGCTGTAACATGTCGAGGGACCTTAATGCGATCAGCGCCATAACCTCAGCCACTAAGGAGGAGTCCCAGAGGATCTGAACGGTAAACATGCGTTTAACTGTCTAGCATGCCAGAGTGAACGGCCGACCTGTGTTAACAGTCAAACAAAGAGATGAACCTATTCACCTGACTGCACGCATACACCAAAATACTGTCAGAGTCATAAATTATGACACGCACGTTAATGAGCTTTAACTGTTCCAATGACATCTTTAAAATCACCCACATATATCGCTATAAATGATAACTGGTTTTATCAGTGTGAAAATTTACAAAAAATTATTTTAAAAAAATCTCACCTCAGGAGGATAAATGATAAGATAAGTTATATATATAATTTAGCATATAGGAATAGCATATTTTATATCTTTTATATATTTATTTTTAATATGTATATATATATATATATATATATATATATATAATTTAGCAAATACAAGGATATATATATATATATATATATATATAAACACACACACAGTATGTATGTGTTACATTACAATATATAACGTGTATCCTATCTATCATCTATCTATCTATCCATCCATCCATCCATCCATCATAGTTTTGTTATATAAATTATACATACCAAATAAATTATATTTCATTAACATTACTTTTTAACTCATTTTAATTCATTATTTATTTATTATTATTTTAACTCACTATATATAGAACATAATAAAATAATGCATTAAAAATAAACTGGTAATAAAGAAATACGTGGGGGAAAATGCTTTTTTTTAGAAAAAGACGTAGGTGGAGCGGATGAAGAAAAGTGTGAAAAGAATTAACCGGATGAGGGGAACAGAAAAATTAAGAATGACTCTGAGAGCTGTGGAGGAAGAGGAGACCCATGGGGGCCTGATATTCAGAGAGAAAGTGAGAGAACAAGAGCGAGCGGTGGAAAATTATTGGGCGTGCGCTCAAAACACAGAGCATTCCAAAAGCTGAAAGCATCCAAAGGCGAAGAAATGCAAAGCTGGGGGGGGGGGAAGTCTCTCGGAATGTTAGAAATCAACAATGTAAGACAGCTCTTCCACTGCTATAGCAATTTGTTTAAGTGTTACTGGCGAGTGTTTGTGCCAAGCAGGCTGCTGGCTGCGGCACTGATGTTTGAGGAAGCAATGCCAGCTAGCGCAGCTGTGCGGCCACTGCCCCCACCCTCCACACCCCTTCCTCTCCTCTACTGTCTCGGCCAAGACACTCTTGGAGATAGAAAGACACAGAGAGAGAGAGAGAGAGGGTTCAGAAAATATGCGAGACAGCAGGTGAGAGAAGAGTGTGTGAGAGGAAGTGACAGTGAGTACATGTGTGAGAAGAGGTCACTAGGGGGAATCGCTCCAAAAATTTACTTCAAGAAGTGGGCGCCGAGGCTGCTGATTAGCCACGTCCTCTACAGCTGGCAAGCACCTCTCTCCTCATTTTATTTCATCATGCCCTCCTCCTCTTAGCTGGAGCGATGACAGACAGACGAAGGGGGGGTTTGGCCTGATCAATACCGGCCTCACTGCTTCTCCCGGCCTCCCCTCTCTGCTCGCCTACCCCTGAACCTCGACATATCATACATTATCGAAGCAGGATCTGACTGCGGATGATGAATGTTCTGGCCTCACCAGGCTTTAAGGAAAGGGGTGGTTGACACAGGGGACAGCAGCACCACCACCGCACAGGGGAAGGAGGTTACCACCGTTCTATAGGTTATCAATGCCCCTGCTGACTCACAGCTAATGAGCGTTCTAGTCACACAATCTATCAAACAGGTGACTGGGGAGCCTGGAAGAGCAGAGGATGTTTACAGGGAACGGCCGCGACAGAAGGAAACTGATGAGGATATGAAGTTTGATGGGGAAAGGCTATGCCAGGAAAACCATGGGATCACTGAAGATTGAAGACAAGTTAGACAGACATGGTGAATGTCGTGATTAATGTCTGGGGAAGTAGCTGGGATAATAAGGATCAGTGCTGCTGCTGTAGCTAGCAGTCCTCTCATTTACATAGACGTTTGAAAAACTACGAGAGTTGAAGCATGTGACCTTGTCAGTCAGCAGGGGAGCGTTAACGGCCCCACCAACTCAACTCTCTGCTGAGATAACAGCCCCTGCAACTCTCCACATGGCCTCTGGGAACAACAAATACATTGGAATTTCTTGGTGGCTCTATATCGGTGCTATATTGGTTATAGGGCTAAATGGGAGATATTTTTTATTTATTGAGATACTGGATATATATCGGCCTGTATATATGCACCTTATTTTTAACGTAAGTGTGGGTGCGGCCATATGTAACTTGAAGGTGTCATTCGCTTCCAGTTATTTTAGCTGTACGAAAACAGTTGGTCATGCTGCTTGATATTACAAAATGATATTTAACATTATTGTCACTTATCATCATCAGAAACACTGGCTTGTAGCACAAATATTATTACCTTTTACCGCTCTTTGTTATTCTTCTAGTTATTTACCTATGGCAGCTAGTAATCGGAAGCCACGCACATTCACAGAAAATAGCTTGTTTCCTTGTTGCACATTTAAATGTGCATGCTCATTTCACCGTTTTTACATTTACTGTACTTTGTGGTCATTTAAAGCATCTTTAAACACTAACAATTTACATGTAAACTAGGGCTGTGCGATATGGATAAAAAAAACCTATCGCGATTTCTTTGATCAATTTTGCGATTTCGATTTTAATCACGATTTTGACACACACAGACATGCTTTACAGTCATTAATGCATTCAGTGTGAATCTGAAACATTTCCAAAAGAAAACCGATTAGAGCTTTATCAAAAAGCTGTAACGTCTCTAGAACAGACATAAGGCAAAATAATCACTAAGTAAAGGTGTAACAAAATGTCTATATAATAGACATGGCAGAAAAAGAAACAAAATCCGGCGTTGCCTCAGATGTTGAACTAGATTTGTTGCGCCAAGTTCACACGTACTCCGTCTGCAGTGCGTCTACAGTATGTGTATGCAGTGCAGAAGCAGCACGGACTCATTTTGCTTTCGCACAGGACGCGTTTGCAGTCCACTCCTGATCCGCGGCTGTTCACCACAAACACAACATTTATCCATTATTTTGATTTCAAATTCAAACGTTGTTTCTGAAAATGCTTTTTCAGCATTGTGATTCTCTTTTATCACAGTACAGTAATACAATCTTTCATAGACATATTCCCGTTTAAACTCAATAAATATAACTTTAACTACCACGACGAGTGCCATCTATTATTGCCTTGTTTATCTAAAAGTGCACTTTTCCTTGTTTTAAATCTAGCCAAAAAGCCATGTGTTGACTGTGAAACAGTAGACTTTAATTATATGCATTTATGGTGTAATTACTAAATTTCCGTGTCAATCCATGTTAATTTTTACCGCGAATAATGCGCTGTCACTTTAATTCAGAGCATGCAGCACAGCAGAAATAGACTCTGCCGGACCGCAATCGCGTGCAACCCGCCCGGTCTGTTCTGTTCTCGTGCTCCATTTAGGCGCGCTGCATTCTGATTGGTTCGGATAGCATACTGCGGGAGGTCGGGGGCGCGGAAAATCGTGCTATAAAGCGATTTAGAAATCGCCCTAATGTAAACATAACCTTCAGCAAATCTCAAAATGAATATCCTAGTGTAGATTGCAATGATGAGACGCTTAAATGTACTTGTAGCATTTTAAATGATTCATTTTTTAATTATTCATTAATTAGTTATCAG